TAATAATAATAATAATAATAAAAATCAGAAAATATCCTAAATTTATATTGTCTGTCTACACAATATGCCAGTCTTGCCTGTTCTTCATCTATACTCTGCCTTTCTTTCAGAGAAAGACTTAAAATTGGCTTAATACAGTTGTCTTTTAAAGTACAAAACACTAAAGCTACCTCCCCTTGCCAAACCAAAGCGTGGAAAATCCCACCTCTGCCCTCATCTTGGACCTAGCCTTATTTCTTCTGGGCATCATGGGCTCTTTTTATTACATCTTTCCACCCCGCCCCTCCCAACTGGGTTTAGTTCCCAGCTTTCAAAAGGCTATCCGCCCTGAGTTAGTCAAAGTGCTTTGTGGAATCACTTACCACTTGACCAGAAAATTCAATAGGAGTAGAAATGTTGGTTGAGTAGAGCTTTCGTCTTGATTTCTTGGGCCTGGCATCGTTTTCCTTAACTGATTCTTCCTCAGTAGATTTGGGAGATTTCATTGTGGCCATCAGCTTCTTTGCTAGAAGAGGCATGGTAGGAGATGTTTTCTTTTATTCAAAGCAGCGCAACTCTATCTTACCACTTACTCTACTCTTAGCTAGGCTAGGGTTTTTCAAATTGCGTTCTGTGGAACCCTAGCATTGTGCAAGAATTTGATGGGGTTCTGTGAGAGATTAAGGGCAAAACCAAAAACGGTTCACCTGAACGCAGCCAGTTCTCTGGAGCTTTACCTCTTGATCAGGAGTTCTAGGGTATTTTTTTTTAAGGAAAAAAACCCTAACACCCTGAAAATGCTTGAAACTCCCTGATCTAGTCCATTAATGAATAAGACTAATCTTTCGCAAAAAAATCTCTTCCTTTCTTCTTCTGGAAGTAGTTTTTAAAAGCCATGGCCCATACAACTGAAATCCATTCAGCAAAAAGGAACACCTCATAAGGGATATTTTGGAGCAAGCCCCATTGGACTCCCTAGGTTTTATTTTAAGTAAAAGTATGTAAAATCAAGCTAAAGAGAGAGAGGGGATTAAGGGGAGCGGGGAAAGTGCTCTACCAAGATGGCTGTTGGTAAGGGTTTCTGCAGTTGTAGTCCAGAACAATCAGAAGATCCCTCATGGCTTCACGATGAGCATTACTGATTCACTCTCACCAAATTGCATTTTCTGTCCTCCTTATGTTTATTTCTATAAGTAATTACATGTATATTCCACTTTAATAAGCTTGCATAGTTCTTATTCCCTGACTCACTTTATCCTAAGGAAATTTATGGCACAGAAAGCAAACGTGACTTTATAGCAGTTGTGCCCAAGTGAGAATTTGAAATTGGATCTTCCCAGTCGTAGTTCAACAGTCTATTGCACCATATTAGCATTAATATTTACAAAAGTTTCTAGAGGTATTCAAAGATTCTGAATTTAGAACATTTCAAGCTCAAAATGGGCTCTTCTTTCAAAGGGTCTCAAACCTTCCAGAAGTGTCTAAACTCAAAATGACCCTGTTTTGAATTCAAGCCTGAAATGGGTCTTTTTTGACACTTCCAGAATTGTCAAGGCAGCATTTGAAGGCTTCTAGAAACGTTGGAACAGCTGATTCAAACTCAAAAGAGAACATATTGAACTTGACATACTTTGCAATCTTCTAGAGGCAATTGTTCCAGGAAAGGGAAGGGTTCCGTTATAAAGACCTGTCTCTGGATGAGATCAGGCTGAAATTGTGATTAAATTACAGTTTCAATGTAATTTGCCTCCATCGAAGTATTACAAGCAATACAAAAAGAACAAGATTAAAAAAGTTGATGTCCAAAGCTAATTTCTTTTGCTCTGTGGTTTAAAACACCAACTCCCCTTTTAAAATATGCAGTGTTCCAGATGGAACAACAAAAATATCTCATAATTGCCTCACATTAAAGGAATGGGCTTCTTTCTTTTGCTGCTTACCTTTAGATTGTATTATTGTAGGGGAATTCTGCAAGAGATTGCCAAATTTTTGTAGAGTTCCACCTGGGGATGCTGTTGATTTTATATTTGATGCATAATGTTTAGTTCTTAAGGAATAATCCTTTCTGAGGGAGGAGTTAGGAGCAGTCTGAAGCAATAGAAAATATTGAAGCATATATTTAAAACATTTTATTTATTGTCGAAAGACATTTGCTAAACCATACTGTCCTTTATAAAAAGTGTATCTGCATTAGGTTATTACCATGATTGAACATTAGATATAGGACTTAGCCCTGGCATGTATTTCCAACATTCCTACTCAAAAGTATTGGAGTTCATTTGTGCTGTCCTTGTCTTATTTTTTAGTAGCTCCATTTTGGCTATACGGTTTCCAGCTGCTGCAGTTATATCAGCTTTCCCCAATCTGGGCAAGTCTCCAGATGTATGAACTTCATCTCCCAGAATTCTCAGCAAGGGCTTTGCTGGTGAGAGAATTCCAGGAAAGTCCCGATATCTGGAGGTCATAAACATTCAGGTAGGCTAAAGGCTTAGATAATGAAGATTGGCTGTCACTAGGCTGATAAAAAATATTTTAAAGAAGAGACATTTGGGTTCAAGTACTTTGTGGAGGGGAAAAAGATAATTATCTGCTAGAAGAAGAGGAAGAGCCCATTACTCTGGCCTAAGGCAAGCTACAGTCCTTGATAATTTATCTCCTTTTTACCTGCAATGTAACAGAACACGTGCTTTACAAAATTGCTGAACCAGGAATGCATGTGATATAATAATTAAATTATCATATAATTAAAATAAAGCTATTCCATGTCAAACTACTGCAACACCATCACATTAAAGTTATCAACACACATACTTTTTTCCCTTGTCTTCTTAATGAATCAGACCATACATTCCTATTAGCTGGCAATGTTACATTCTTCTCATTTTCGTTTTTCAAGACGTCCTTAGAATGAGAATGGTGTGTTTAACATTGAGCTACAGTCTCCATGCTGGGTTGTTAAATACTTCTTAGAGGGAAATGGGGCAGCTTTAACTAGAATTGGCAATCTTTTCACACACTGGATGGAGCATTGTTCAGTTGGCATGTTGTCACGGACATTCAAAAAATAACATTTTTTAAAAGCCAAACTCTTATGAGATCTCATGGGAGAGCACTTAAATCTCATTATATATTTGCTATGATTAATCTGAAATTCAAATTAAATGCAAGGCAATCTTCCAATATTCATGAATTATTTTACCAGGGACAGAGCAATCTGTGATTTTCTAGATGTTACAACCCCCTGCAGTTTCAGCAAAAGATGAGGGATACTGTCACTTGTATTTTGGGCTTATCTATAATTCTGCCCTATTCTATATTAATTCCATACTGTTTAACTTGAGAACATGAAACAAAAATGCTTCCGAATTAAGATAAACCGTTCTGCCATTTTTATCCACTTTATAAATTATTCTATTATTTTTCTTCTCTACAAGAGGACCTTTGCTTTATATTAAATTGGATGCCATTCCAATTTCAGAATGAAGGATTCCGAATCAGCCACAGGTCTCTGGTGGAACATTCAGCAATTTCTCAGAGAACACCATCTGGCTTCTGATTGCTGAGGATTTTCACTAATAAGATCGGAGTGGCTGGATTTTGGTCTAATGTATACAGGCATTTCTTAAGCAAGAATGAATACTTCCAATTGCTTCACATGCATTTGTTTGTGGTTCAGACTGAATTTAGGGACTGTATAATATTTTATTGCCCATTACCTACTTCATGAATGAGAAAGAGCCTGAATGAGAAGCTAACAGAATCAATCGCTTTGATTTTCATGGACCCCATCAGGTCCAACTAACAATAGTTGAGAAGCCTACTTCTGCTTGAGGTGTTGAGGTCAAAAAGACAGAAAATTCCCTGATGATTTTTATCCCCTTTCTGTCACTGGAAATTGTGGCCATTCAGTTCCAACCCATCTCTTTCATTACACACAGAAGAGGCTAGAGACAGTGAGGAGCCTCAAAGACATGATATTATTCTGACTACTTCTAGAGTCTCAATGTTTCCTAGACACTGTCACTCAACTTGGACAAAATATAAGTTTGGCTGCTAGGAGGGCAAAATCTGGGCAAAGAGCAAAGGAATGGAAAGAGGAATTTAGAAAAGGCAATGTAAGGACAGAATTTTGACTTTTTTTATTGCTTGCTGGTTGTTACCAACCTGCTTTGATGTTCTGGGCAAGTAGGACTTTGTGAGAAAGTGAGAAAGACTTTGGGAGAACTATATATAGGTTCATTACATAATATTATATTTGATGTTCTTATTTTCTTATTCCTGTTACATTATTCATGTAAGAAACTATTTCTTTTAATGTAAGCTTACATGAGGGAATGAGCTTATGTATATAAAATTATTTAGTGACTGCAATTGGTTTGAGCGAACACTAAGCAAACCATGTGACTCTGAGAGAGAGATGCTGCAAAGATCACTGATTGCTGCCCTCTCATTCAGATAAAGTTCTCTAATACAGTGTCCTGTGCCTGACCTGTTTTTTTCCCCTTTTTTTGGCCTCTTCACAGGGCAGAGAGATTGCTTAAACAAGCTTCCCAACCTGCTTTTCTCTGCAACCCCAAGTTAACAAGCTCAGCTCTGGGACTTCAATTAGGTGATTGGAACCATCTGGGGGCTGCAGCTGCTGCTTGAAACTGACCAGGTCTTAGTCAGTTTCACACTGAAGACTTTTGTTGTCATAAATATGGGCATTGGTCAGAAAATGAATTTTTTATTACCATCATATTTGCAAACAGTTGCTATCTGAGGCAGTTGCTAAACAAGGACTACCTGTATAAATACCTCTTTGAAAAGGCATTTTGTTCTGATTAAGATAATATTTCGGCCTCAAATGAAGTAAGATTATACCCTTTAACATTTGGGGAAAAAGTTTTTTCAGTGAATGTATGCGTATCCATAAGTGGTGCGATTCACAGTAAAGCCAGCCCATCATTTTGAGTTCCTTGGTCTAAATATGTTATTCTTTAATTATAACCAGGTTGTAGATGTCAATGTGTTGTTAATTTGTATTCCAAACATTTGGAATTTATCACTTTCTGAAGACATTTGGATTTACTGTCCTTGGACTATTCTACTTGCCCCAAAAGATCATCATGACAGATCCTGGTGTATCAGATATCAAAGGCTGCCTTGCTGAAATGTGTCACCTCTCAGCCACTGAATTGGATTTTTACTGGCATAAAGAGAAAACCCTGGGCAGTATAATTCTATGCGGGTGAGGTTCAATTCACTGTTTAAAAACTACAAATTTTAATTGAGATACAATTATTGTTGTGATTATATTTTATTTGATTTAGGTTTTCTCTCAATTTCTCTCTCTGTATCTTGTGGGTTATTTGCATATACACATTTTTGGTTTTTCCTCTTTTTATTGTTGTATTAAAGCAGTAAAATAAAACCTATTCAAATAAAATTTACTTTGAAATCCACCAGGTTAAGATTGCTGTCTCATGAAAGTGTTAATGGATATGAGTAAATGGTGGCAGATTTCAGTTAGTCAGCATCAGAAACAGTAAAACCTCAATTCGCCAGATTCCAGTTCAGTGGACTTGAATGCCACGGACAAAATTTTACTTAAGGTTTCACCCCTAAACAATATTTTCAAAGCAGGAGAGATCATTAACAAAATTATGTTACTGTGTCCATTTGTCCATTTTGGTAATTATGTATTTAAGCAAATGGTGACATTATGACAAAATGACATAAATAAGATTTAATACAAAAATTCAGATTTAATGGGTATTCGACTTTAATGGATACCCTTTTCTCCCCAAAATGGTCTGTTAAATTGAAGTTTTACTGCATATTTGAAAAGCAGATGTTCATTACAAGATGGTAAGAAATAGTAGATGAAAGATCAGCTATGATAGTTGTTATAATCTAAATGTGATATTGGGGTGAAATGTGAAGAAGGATTAAAGTACTCTTATCTACTTGCACTTAAAGAGATTCAGTACCTGACTGACATCAGAAATGCCCTTATTTCTAAGTTTGTTTTTCCAGAAACTTGACAGCATATTGCTCTTGAAGGAAGCACAGTTGAGAAGACAAAGTTATTTTTCCATGCATTCACCTCTAAGTAAGTATTCATATATAATCTCAAATCTGAAGTTAAACAGCCCCTTTTAGAAATGTGACTTTAAAAAATAGTATTGAAAGTTAAGAAATGATTTTAAGGTTCCCAATTTTGGATAAAAAAATTATTCCAAGAAACCATATACTGCATCCTTGACTAAAAGCTACCACACGCTACCATGAAGATTAACAATGAACTTGCAAAGCCTCTGTTGAAAAGGCCAGCCCTACATATTCTGGTCAGAGCCTGGCCCACCATTTGCTGCTCCCCGTGTGGTACGTTTGTGGACACTGATCAAGGTCAGATCTCAGCTGCACATTCAGATTCCCTGGAGTGGAATTTTCTTTTTCTGGGAAAGAGACATGCTTGCTGCTGCCCACATGGGGTTTAGTCAGGTAGAGATGCCTAGAAGATTGGAGTTACATCTGCAGTTCACAGTATGGCGTTTCATTTCTCATCATATCTTCAAAGACAGTTATCGGCTAGCCATGAAGAAAGCATTGGTAAAAAAAGGGCTTGAGATAAACTGGGTCCATGTTTTCAGGCTAGAACTTGCTTTTCCCCAAACAAATTAAACAGAGAAGACTACTACTTATATAAATGTCAGCGCAGGGTATTAAAAAAAGTCCCTTGTGTTGAACTCAGGACACTTTCCTGTCATTTTCTTAGCAACAATTAAAGCAAGGTGTATATTGTTTTAGCATCAAAGCAACTGCCTAGATCAGAGATAGAACCAGATGCACCCAAATCCTTAAGAAACCCCATATAACCCAAATCCTTAAGAAATCATGTATAATTGTACGTTTATAAGGAAGGATGTCCTACTGCATCCAGTGGGACTTATTCTTTAGTTTGGGATTACATTCTTTGGTGGTTTAATAATGCACATTTTAGATTTCTTTCAGAAACGCTATTTTGAGATGGGTACAAGAAACATGCTAACAATATCTGTTTTTTTCCAAACTTTGTACCTCATGCATGGTGTTGCTCTTCCTTTTCCTTGACTTGGGCACCTTAAGAGTCACTGTGGAAGGACTTCCTTGATGCTTTACTTCCATCTTATTGGGCTGCAAAGGTGTAAACTGAATCTCCATTTCAGGTTTTGGAAAGCGGCTAGCTTGGTCACTCTCAGAAGATACTTCACAAGAATCTAAGACAGCATCTGATTGGTCCTACGGGTACAATAACATGACAGAAAATAGCAGAGGAAAATAGTATTTGCTTTGCTCATAAAATGAAGAGGAAAACAGGTGGGAAATTCAACAGAAGTCTCTAACGAAAAACTCACTGGCCAGACTCTGTTGCACACTCTATTTCATTGTACAAATCTTTGCAGTAAGCCTTATAGTGTGATATCAAAAACTTTTCCTAGCAAAGGAGAACTCAGTTAACTGCAGTTTTTACTAGAGGACAGAACATTGAATAGCAGCATCAATTGCACCAATAAGCCTCAAATGATTCACTCCCAGAATATCAGTTCATCTGAAAACTAATTTCGGTGAAGCGAAATCCAATACCAAGAAACAGAGCGCTTTGGGCTGCAATTCTATATCCAGAGTGTTGTTGTTGTTTAGTCGTTAAGTCGTGTCCGACTCTTCGTGACCCCATGAACCATATTGCGCCAGGCCTTCCTGGCCTTCGCCACGACAAGGCAGTGATCCATGAAGGGGCTATATCCAGATATCTACGATTAAATGTCATTCAGCTCAATGGGACTTACATTTAAGAGACTAAGCCTGCCCAGTACTACTGGCCCATTCTTTCAAGTGTCCACTTAATACTTAGAGAGTTGCTGTACATTCAGATGCAGGAGAACAGCTTCTAATGTGAGAATACTCACTGGCCTGACTTTCACATGTTGTAGCCTTGGGGACATCTGTAGATACCAAAAATTCCTTCTCCTGAATGTTCAACATAATAAATAGAAGCAGGAAGGAGGGGAGCTACATATACACTGAATACATGGAGGAAGTATATGAACCACTATCTTGAGACCTATAGGATTCCATTGTTAGGTTCTGAAATTAACAGTCCTGAATAGCTGGAGAGTAACACCCAAAAGTAAGTTTCAGAGCAATGAAGTGCTGCTCTACAAATGGGGGCTTACCTGAATATTTTCTCCTGAAGATACCTTGCTAGATCCAACGTTCCCAGCAGTGTTGCAATTTGGCAAGTCAGCTTGTTTTTCTTTAAGCTGTGGACGAATGAATTTAATGGGATTTTAAGATCTGCATTGTTCAGACATAAACGTGATTTTTGATGCCACCAGAGATGTAAGAGGCCAAGATGAAGAACCTGATTTCCACCACGATGGTGCCCACATGGTGAAACATCCTCCCAATAGAACTCATTTTGCCCCAGTACATGTGTCTTTTCAGCATCCAACCCTTCATTTCAACTTTATCTCCTCCTCCAGGTGCCTGGTTTTGTCAATCATATTAATAATAGATGCTGCTAGGTAGAATTATAAGCTGTGTTTGCTTCAGAAAGTGGCACCTGAAGAAGCAATTAAAAAGAAATTAGTTCTAAGCAATGTGTCAGGGTATCTGGAGTCTCTGAAAATTTATCCTGAATTCTTTTCACGACACCAAACACATTTTTAAAAAAAGTTTTACAGCAACTTGAAGTTTGCTGTATCAAAAGAGCCAGATGCAGCAACCACCTTCTTCTATTAACTATAAAAACAGTCTGCATAAACAGCAGGCAACTGATGATTGCTGACTGCATGTGACTTCCATCACTGTACCACCAACATTCAGCAAAATATAGCCCATTTGGGAGATACTATTTTTTTTCTTGGGTGGGATTAGGATTGGGAGACTTTTGGAAGACAGCACATCTGTTTCCACCTTTATAACCCTCTTATTTTCCCCCAAACAACCCCAAAAATTGCAGGGCTAACATTTGGCCACTGTGATACTTAACTGTGGTAGCACAATTCTGGGCCATTGGGGGAGATTAGAAATGTGAGCAATTTGCCTCCCAAACTGTTTGCTTTCTGTTTTCCCTTGACTGTAAACCGCCCACAAAAGGAAAATTAAAAAATAAAAAATAAATCCAGCTATACCTTTCCAGTGACATTACATGCACCCCACCCCCCGTTCATTGTGGGAGTAAGCTGTGGCCCTCAAAGCAAGACAAATGATGGGTATTGTCTTCCTTTCTCTCTCACACAAGCACACATGCTTTTGACAGCAATAACCTACCATTAACGGTCTTTAATTCAGGAATTTAACCAATGTAATAGAGTACATGCAAAGCAGAACTGCTATAGAGCCTCAGAGAAAGAAGTGGTGTACTGTATTTTCTAATCCTTCTCTTCCAAACTAAACATGCAGCTGAAAGTTAACAACGTGTTAGAGAATTCAGTCTTCCTCAATTCAGAGAAACTGTTCCAATATTAGATTTTTAAGTGAATAGGCTCTGGTGTGCTTAATGAACTAATAATTCTGTCTGTCCATGTGTTGAGATTAAGGAGTCTGTCCATGTGCTGTGCGATTAACGAGTTTTCATTGTGTCTTCTGACTGCTAGTTGGTGTTCAGGGATGTGCTCTGCTAGTAAGCCTGCAATAGTCACTATGTAGGACAGACAGGCAGCACACTAGCAGAACGCATCCATGAACACCAACTAGCAGTCAGAAGACACAATGAAAACTCCTTAATCTCACAACACATGGACAGGCTTAACCATAGTTTCAACTGGGAAACTGTGAGCATCCTAGACCAAGCTAAATCCAAAGCTAGGGAATTCCCAGAAGCTTGGCATTCAGACAAATCAGCCACCCATAGACAAATAGAGATAAACCACATTTACACACCTGACAGTGTTGGTGAGGGTGTGTTTTATTGTCACCTTCAAAAGAGACAATAAAAAAGCTAAGAAGGAAACAAAAAGACCAGAACACTTCCTCGCCAGCAATCAACGCCCAGATAAGCAGGGATTAAATAAAGCAGAAAAAAATACCCTAATCAAGGAACTACCAAGAAGAAAACCACACCCTCACCAACACTGTCAGGGCAAGGTACTGTATATAAACAGGGAGCAAACCCCACATTCTCTCACACTGATGATGTTTCCTAGTCAGGTAATGAAATGTCTGAAAGCAAACAACCAAGCTCAGAGAGTACCAAGGACTCCACAGTTCAACCCTGAGCTACAGATATTCACTTCTATTGGAATCCTTTGTCTTGCAGCGTGTTCAGAGAGGGCCCTTTCTCATTGGTATGAAGCTGCAGTGGTCTTCTATGAGAGTCCCATGTCTGTGGTCCTGCCATGGGATTATTCTTCCCATAGGAAGACAGAGCATGTTGCTGGAGGCAGATTAGATGGAATAAACATTTTTTTCATATGTTCGACGTCTACTGGAAAATTTAACATTAGAGAAAACAACTGAGTTGCTATAACTGGACTCAAACTCGAATAGACATTTGGGAAGGGTCACAGGTTGAGCAGAGGCAATAGAACATGGGTCAAACAATCTGGAGTGGGATGGGAGAAATTTGCCACACCAGCTTCTGTATAGCATACCAGACCAGAGCTGCCCTTAAAGGAATGGAGAAGTTTGGAATGTAATGGATGCAAAGCCAAACTTGCCCCATTCCTATCTGAGACCCACCATGATGGTAAATCTACATGCATAAGACTTTCCATGGGTGTATTAGGGCAGACGTGCTCCTGCCTGCACACACTTACATCTTTGCTTCACCCTAAGACCTTCCCCTTTAGGTGGTCATCAAAATGGAAGAGAACCGCACCTCTCCTTTATCTAGGAGTAAATGCCCCTGAGCTTAAGGAGACTCGAATTATATTGTAAGCTACCATTACCTGCACCTGCTTCGAGTTACTGGGATCTTCTGCCTGAGTGTTTTTTGTTCCATTTGAAATAGTCAACACTGCAGGGGCAATATTCTCACTGGTAATCTCTGTTAGTTCCTTAGAATCATCATCTTGAAATCCTTCAGTGATAGTCTTGTGTTCCTTTCACAGGGGGAAAAAAAAGATATTGTATATTTAGTTAAATAGATGCAGACAGGATCAATAAGAACACAATTTAAAATGTAGCAAAGTGTGGATCAATGTGGGGATTTTAGTACATTTTCTGTTCAATATTATTTAATTAAAACATATTCTTTATTCATTGCATCTGTAGCCTGCTTTTCCTCTGGGCACTCAAGATGGTATATATGGGGATCTCTCCTCATTCTCTCCCAACAACATTTCTGTTAAATAAAATAAACCTACTTGGTTATTTGCAATATTCATAAACTGCCCTGATCAGTGGAGACTCTGGGCAGTGCACAACAAAGCAGAGTAAGACTACATGCAGTAAGCAGAAAAAACAATATATAATTTTCTTTAAAAATGTACTAATTAATGTAATTGGTGCTCATTATAATTCAAGGTCAAAGGCAAATTGAAATAAAGGGGTTTTAATGGCATCACAGGATGCCCAGGAGGATGGGGTCAAGTGTACTTCCAAGGAAAGCGTATTCCAAAGCATGAAGGCTATAACTGAAAAGGCCAGCTGCCTGGCCCACACTCCATGCACGCTGCTCAAGGGGGTGGGATCCTCAATAGGCCCTTCCTAAATATTAGGATCAGACGGCAGATTTAATTTTGACAAGGTAGTTCCTGATACATCCCTGTTCTATGCTAGTAGGGCTTCATAGATAAAATGGAAGTATAGGTTGAGCTGAAAGAGAAAGAAAAAGAGATTAGCTAAAAGTCACCCAGGAGTTTGTGATCAAGTAGGGATTTGCATCTTGTTCTATGTGGAGAATAAGGAAGATGACCTTGACAGATCTGTATTTGCATTGTCTCTTGGAGTTCTTTGGGCTGAACCTGACAACAATCTCACCAGACTCCTACCACCTTCAAGAAGAGGGAGTTTGAATCATGGCAATGGATCCCCAGGGAGCAAATTTGACACCAGTTATTAGCAGCAGCCCTGCTACAACATCAACAGCAAGTGGATGCACAAATTAATAACCTACAAGCAGCTATGGGACAGTTAATACAGTTCTGTTGCGTTTATTAGCTTCCACCTCAAGACAGAATCTCACCAGACTGAACCCAATTTCCCAAGCCAGCCAGCCACAACACCATGAATTCTTTAGGGAGGTGCCAGCCTCAT